GACACATTAGCAGTCAGAAAGCTGCCCCAGGTGCCATTTAAGGGCAGAGGGAGCAGGCATGGGCTGGCTGCTGTGCTCTGCCTCATGAGAGAGCACAGCACAGGGCAGGAAGGCAGATGCAGTCTTCATCTGAAATTTTCATTACTTTCTCCGATCTGACACACCATGGCAAGAGTGCCCTGTAATTTCGTGTCCTGCCAGTGGCCAGGACCTTCCCCTTTTCCCGAGGAGTATCTCACAGTGGGTCCACTTGRTTGATGGCTGCCCCTCTGCTGAGACACCCCTGGGGTACTCACGATCTCTCCAACAGCTACAAATGGCACTTGGCTGCTTCAACGAGGCAGCATTTTCTTGTTTATCTTTCAGTGWGGTGTAGACATGCTGTGCAGGGGTCAGAGGGTGAGGGAAGAGTGACCATGGCCCTGTGCTAATTATAAAGGTAAATCAGCTCCAGGACACTGCCAGGGACAGGATATGTCAGTGCTGTCTGTAGTCCTGAAATCTTTGTCTCACAGCACTTCAGCAGAGGGAAGGTCACAGCATTGCTGAGGTTGGCAGGGACCCCTGAACATCATCTAGTCCAATTCCCCTGCCCAAAGCAGCRTCAGCCACAGCTGGTTGCTCAGGACTATGTCCAGACAGCTTTTGAAYATCTCCAAGGATGGAGACCCCCTGCTCGACCCTCTGGGCAACCTGCCCCAGTGTTCAGTCTGTCTTGCAGCAGCAAAGACTCTCTTTATGCTTAAGAAGAATTTCCTGGTACTTCAATTTATCTCTGCCACCTCTCACCTGTGCAACACTGAGAAGGATCTGGCACTGAGTTCTCCACACCCCTTCCACAGGGGTGCACTGGTAACACTCACCCCAAGCTTTCTCTCCTCCAGTCTGAGCAGTCCCAGCACTCCCAGTCTTTCCTCATGGGACATGGCCCAGTCCCTCCATCATCTCTGCAGTATTTCAGTGGACTCTCTTCAGTGTGTCCACACTGGAAGCCCAGACCTGGACTGAGCACACCAGCTGTGGTCTCACTAGTGCTGAATTGGAGTGCAGGGATCACCTCTCTCAACCTGCTGGTACAAGCACAGCAGAGTTCCTGGACTCTGGTGCTGGTCCCACCTGGGATGTCGCAGAAGATCTGTGATCCCAGCGGTGATGTACCAGATACAGGCCCTGAGAAACTGTTTTTAGGGGTTTGATGTTGAGTCTTGTCTGGACCATGTAAAGTAGTCAGATATATTTCCTCTTCATCCASCACTGACCATTGCCTGGAACACGCCAGCCAGAGATCTCTGCAGCCTGACCCCATGCTCAGAACTCTTGCTGCTCTGTGGCCTCAGAGCTGTTTCATGCTTCTGGAATGAGGGCARAGCTGTGCACAGCATGAAGTAGATTTATCTCCCGACTTGTAGTTTCTCTAGCTGTCATGAAGGGGTGTTGAGGCATGAGAAGCTCACACAGAGCAGTGAGTTATCCCCTTTGGTTCCAAACAAACAGCTTCTCTACAGGCAGCACAACTGCCTATTGTCCCTGGCAGAAACTCAATGCATCACTGCTACACAGAACTGACCTCCTGTGGCCAGCAGCATTGCCCTGACCTCCTGGGAGATGTTTTCCACATGGAACTGTGCTCTCTGTGCAGATGTCCATGCTGTGTAGATCTGCATATGCAGACTCAGCCCATCTCCTCCTGCTTYCCCCAGATGCTGCCTCAGGTGCAGCCCCAATGCCACAGCTCTGAGCTCTGCACTGCACCAGCTCTGCAGGGCCATGGAACACCCAGACTGAGAGTCCACCTGCCTGCCCTGCCCACAGACTGCATTCATGACCCCTGCATTTCTGGGAAAAGTCTGCCCTCACCTCTGCTGACAGCCTGACACATGCACAGTTCAGGAGGAGCTTGTGGGCTCCTGTGGATGCAAACTCTCTTACTACAAAACTTTGCAGCACATAAAAACAAATTTATAAATACTTATAGCCTGCCTCTTGATGTTTGAATAATTGAATGCAGGAACATTTCAGTGATGACAGCTTTATAACAGTCAAATTTGGCTGTTTTTTTTTTTTTTTAAAGCTTAGCCTGCACAATAAAGTAAGTAAGTAATTGAAGACTTTTGCAGCAGCTTTCCTAGAATCTGAGTTAAATGCAAAATTTCTTCAGCAAGCAACTTGAAATTTGCTCAGATAATTTCATTTCTTTCTGTTGTTGTGATATAGCAATATTTAAGATGCACATATGGGTTTCTAAATACCAAAAACCTCAGTAGTTTTAAGCATTTAATGTTGCAACATGAAAGCTGTATCATTTCCACAAGTGTGATTTATGCCTTGGCGCTTTACTGCCAGACAAAGTCCGAGATTACTCTCACCCTAAATTCCAAACACAGCACTGTACCAACTACTAGGAGGAAAACTAACTCTATCCCAGCTGCCACTCAGCCTTTCAGGGATGGAATATACTCTRTATTTTCTTTTTTGTCCCCTAATGTCTCTCAGATAATTCCTAGTATTTTTTTTTTCTATCAGTCTGTGCTTTTCTATGGTCTTTCCAGTATCTTTGCGAGTCACTGATGTTGTCTTTAGGGACAGATTTTAATCATGAGACARGACACGGTTAAGGGGATAAAAGGGTTTTTTTTTTTTACCATGGTATTTAAGGGGATTCCAGAAGCACAGCTCGACAGAAGAAAGAAACACCAGAAAATGCACCTCACGTATGGCATGTATACAAGTTTTATAGACTTCACAAATTAGCATATCTACCTAGGATTCCCCAATAAGAAAGTTAACAAATGCAATAATGCCCCCCTATTGTAAAGAACCCTGCCCCAGGAGGAGGCCAGAGCYCAGTTTACACARGATGTTCCAGAGAGAAGGTTTCACCCAAGGTTGGAGCCTCGAGGTTTGAGATAACACCTTTGTTGGAGGAGTGAACAAATAGACTATGTACAATTCAATATGAACCAAGCAGTAGCTGATTTATTGCAATTTCTCACACCTTTTATAGCTAAATTTCTTCAGTACATGTGACTGCATATATCATGATTGATTACATGCTCTGTTCACACGGTGTTCATGTCACAAAACTACTATGGTTGACCAGCATTATTTACATCAAGTTGGCAGCAGATAATAAGCAGAAAGTTTCTCAGACTTCTTTCTCCTGATCTCGTTTTAACATTCTTTCTTCCTTTGCTCATCCTTGTTAACCTGGCCTGTGTGTCAGCAGGCCTCTCTCATTATGGCTGCTGCAAAATGTTCTTTTTCTTGTAAGAATCTGTCCTCCACACATGATGACCCTTACTGAGGATGTTTGGTCTCTCTGCCCAGCAGAATCCCTAAACTAAAATATCAGGCTACAAGAATTACAAGCATATAGGCTTGGTGTACAAGGGATACATAAATGGTACAGAAAATGTCTAAAAGTGTATATAAAATATATAAAAGGGTATAAAAAGGGTATATAAAAATAAAAGGCAAAAATAATCAGGCATCACGGGAATTAAGAGTTTTTCTGCATTTAGTGCTTCTCATTTATGTACAGAGTAGACCATTTTTCCTGCCATTTGTGAGCAGATGAAGAGCTCAGCCTTCTGCATTTTGTTTTGTTTTTTTTTTGTTTTGTTTTGTTTGTTTTTCAGTTTTGTTTTTTTTTTGAACCTCAAAACTGAAATCTCTATTGGCAGCCTGTCACCACAAGTAATGATGGAAAGGGGATCTCCCCTTTCATTCCCTATCATATCTATTGCTTTAAAAACCTTTCATACACGATCCTTGACAAAAATTTTTAAAAAATTCTGACTGATCTGATGCTGAGGCCATATCCTTACTGACGTGGGTTTTTCTTCAACTAGATGCATTTGAGCATTGCTTTTTACTTCTCCTGCACTCCCTTGCTCTCCATTTAAACAAATTAGTCTTTTCTCTGGGAGAGGGGCATGGACAAAGATGCAGGAGGCTGTGTGTCTTTACAGRGCCTGTAGTCAAAGATTACATTTAAGGTTCTATTTCAAGAAGTTTCTCTGCTATGTACAGAATTTTACTCTCAGATTCTAAGTGCAGGGCCGAAATTGTGCAATTTGTTAGAAAGGGCAAACCTGCCCTGGTGCTCCCACATTCAGCCCTCCACACAGTGAGTGTGTCATGGCCATCTCCAATCCCCCTTAACCACAATTTTAGTACCTTCTGTTAAAACATGCTCACAGGACAATGCTGCACACTGAATCATGCCAGCTTTTCTGTAGTTGGCTGTTTTAGCAGAGACAAAAGATAAAGAGGACAGATGTTTTTCAGTGTCCAGTAAGCTGGAACAGTTGATTCAGAGATTCCCTATTTTTTACCTCTTTGTAAGTCCTTAAGCTCTATTGCACTCCTCCCCTCATGTTGGAAATCTCCCTGGGGTAGATGGGGAKATAACCACAGAAAAATCTGCAAAGAGCAGAATAAAACATAGTGCCAAAGTCATCCTTCCCCATTTTTCTCCTTCACCAACATCTGACTGGTACCCCTAAAATAGCCAAAATTCCACTGTTTATGTGAAACCTCACTGCTAGGAATTRGGCATTAGTTTTGCAACACTGAGCTGTCTTGCAAAATATCTCATGCTCCCTACTCCAGCCTTGAAGTTACCACCAAAAATGTTCTCTCAAATGTCTCAGTGTTTCTGGCAGAGTGAAGCCTGGTGAAACACTCGTGGATAGAACAAACTTCACTGAGAGAGCAAAGCCACATTATTCCTCACAAGAAGAAGAAAAATGCAAGCCATTGACAAGACAATTTTATGGACTTACTGCAGCAGTCTGAGAACTTCCAGCTGATGCAATAGAGAATATTTACACAATTCCACAGCAGCAACACAGAGAGAATGTGCTGTGGAGGGGGCTACTCTATTGCAAAATATGCAGAGAGAGAAAGGGAGCAAGTCAGCAAGAGGGTGGGGACAGCAAAGGAGCAAGATCTGCTGCTGTGTTCCATCTGTGCAATAACTTCTGCTCTAAGAAGGCTGATGAGCACATGGTGCAACATGGAATCTAATAAATAATCCTGTATTTTCCCATATAAAAATAGAAATTTCATTTTTGTTTGGACAAAAATATGTTTTCTAGTGCAYGTAGATGGAGAGACATCTGGTGAAAAGATCAGGTGAGTCCCCTTATATCTGTGGGTTTTGCTCCCACCTTCCCTGTACAGATTTGTGCCATTGCTGTGGTGTGGTCCAGCCCCAAGAAAGGCAAGGTTTGGAGGAGGGGGAGCCCACATTTCCCTACTCAACATGGTCTCCTCAGGTCATCACAGCAAAGGAGAAGTCTGATTTGTGTGTAGCAAGTCTGTGGTGGGTGGTTTCAGAGCCACCAATATGAGTTTTCACTTCACTAAACAGTTTGGAGCTTTTCACATCAAAGCACGGCAGCACTTCACATTACCAATCTGTGCTGGGTTGTTTGATGATCAGTGAGAAGTTTGGGAGTAAKAAAAAGAGTGTCTGGGGTTTGAAACTTTCTCTGGTGGTTCTTTTGGAAGTGATTGATGTGGGTGGTAATCTGTGTTACTGTAGGAAGCAGCACTGCATCCCTGCTGACTGGGAAGCAAGGTAATGCTGTCCTAATCCAGAAGAAAGGTGTGAAGGAAAACATAAACAACTATAGACCTGTGAATCTAACCTCAGTTTCTAGAAAAATTATAGAGAAGGTCCTACTGAATTCTACTGAAAAGCATTTGAAGAACAACACARTCTCCAACACGGTTTCACGGAGGAAAAATCCTCTTTAATCAGTTTGATTTCTTTCTAAAATGAGGTCACATCCCCAGCTGATAAAGGGAAGGTGGTGCATGCAGTTTTCCTGGCTTTAAGTGAGGTTTTTGCTACAGTCCCTCACAGCATCCTTTGGATAGTTGTCCAGTGGTGGGAGGGGTGAGGTGATGGTGTGCTGTGTGAAGAGCTGGCTGATGGCAGGGTTTGAATGTTGGAGTGAGCAGGGCTGGGTCTGGCTGCTGAGCACTCAGTGGCACTGTCCTTAGGGTTTATTTAACCCTGTTCAGCATTTTGATCCAGGATCCACATGCAGGAATTGAGTATCCCATTGCTGACAATAAAGAACTGGGAGGTGCTGTTGACTTTCTTCAGGGATAAGAAGCATCAAAGAAGAATTTTGATGGATTGGAGTGTTGGGCTAACTCAGGCATGAAATGGAAGTAGTCCAAGTGCTGTTTTCTGTAACTGGGAGGGAGTTTAACACTGGGTACAAGTCTAAATGGAGAGAGGAGTGGCTGAAGAGCTGAGAGAGCCCTGGGTGTGGATTGGTAGCAGGCTCAAGAGGAGTGAGCAGTGTGCCCAGGCAGCTGAGAGGGCAAATTGTGTGCTGGAGGTGTCATCCAGAGCATGACCAGCAGGTTCAGAAAGCTGTTATCCCATAATGGTCAGCATTGCTGCAGCCTCACATGAAGCWCTGTGTGCAGGGCTGGGCCCCAACATTGAAAAAGGATGTGAGRGTCCTCAAATGTGTCCTGAGGAGGGGAATGGAGGGTGAGCCCTCTGGTGAAGAGCTGAATGGTACATCCTGTGAGGAGCAGTTGAGGGATCTCATCTCCTTCAGAGAAATGGAGACTGATGAGCAATTGCTTTCTGCAGCTTCCTGAGAAGGGAATGTGGTGGAGAGGGAGGTGCTGGACTGTTCTCTCTGGGATCCCAGGACAGCACAGCCAGGAAAGGTCCAAAGTTGTGCCAGAGAGGATCAGACAAGACATCAGAAAGCATTTGAATGCCCAAACAACAGGACAAGGAGTAATGGCCAGAAACTAAACCACAAAAAGTTTCACCACATCCTAAGGTAGAATATTACATTGAAGGTGGCAGAGGACTGGAACAGCTGCCCAGGCAGGTTCTGGAGTCTCCCTCTGGAGACATTCAAACCCACCTGGATGTGTTCCTGTGTCAKCTGTTCTGGATCATTTGTTCAACTCTATATCTGGAAGGCTATAAATGATACAGTTTTACTGYGGGACACAAGGGAATTGAATTCATRGTTTCTAAACCTAATGTTGTGTTCAGGAAGCAAAAACTCAATGAAGTGAAAGATTCTTGCAGGTTGTTTTTTTCATGTGTAGCTTTGAAAAGCTAGACTGGCAGTGAAAAGAAGGAAGACAGGCRGAGTTTCCCCACAGTCTGGTGTGTATTGTCTCCATCAACAGATATAAGTGGGATGGTRCAGTCAGGAATGGAATGCTTGATCRAGCTGGAATGAGTGGATCAAAATCCATGGAATGCTGTTTGCTGATCCAAAAGCTGGGGTGACCACAGCAGCACTGCAAGGTTCCTGCAGCAAATRCCCATCATCTTTGCCAGTGGCCTTGGTGCAGCTTAGCCTTGGGGTGTGTCTCTGCTGTTCTGAACCTCATGAAGGCATTAGCATCTGTGCAAACAAACCYTCTCTCAGAATGGAGGCTTTTCTCCACCTTCTGTGCACATGACCTTGCAATCTTGTACCACAAAGCAGTTCATCTTTAAGGCAATGTCTTCAGTTCATGATAGGCATTTATCTGGGTCCAGATGGAAGATACTAGGTGTGTAATTTATAGAGAATATAGTTCATTTGCGAGGGTTTSTTTGATTTAAATTTAGGATTACAAATGGACTAGATCTTATTTGACTTGGCACACCAAAGAAGGTCTTCCAGCACTTCCTGATGTACTAAGGTGACTTTGCTCTTCTTTGCTTTCATCTAGGCTTGTTTTATCTTTGTGAACTCCTAGGAACAAGAATAATTTTCAGACCTTCCATCTGCCAAAACACAGTGACAGAAGGAAAATGGCACCTGTATAGTCAGGCAGTAATCTTCCTCATGGTGAGACCTGTTGGGGAGCTCGTGCCTTCTAGCACTCTGGAGGAGATTGGTTTGCCTCTATAGTCCCCTTGTTCTTTTGTTCTGAGGAATATCGAAATAAYAGTAAAACTAAACTAATAAAGTATAGCAAACTGTCCAGGCCTTGCAGCCAGCTGGTAATGGAGCAGAATTTGTTCTTTATTTATCTCTTTGGAGTAGGTTTGATTTCAATCTTAGTACTTATAAAGACAGAACAGCAGGTTAATCTCATCAGTGGAGTTTGACAAGAGATATTACTTTAAAGTCCTGTTGTGTTTCAAAGGAAAGTCGGTAAATAAAGTATTATTCTCCACAAAAGGCAAGGGGAATATGTTCCTTTCTAAAGAAACAGTCAGTGCCACTCGCTGTCATGGGGAAACCTGTTGTGGTAGGGACTTGTCCACCCAGGAGATATGTCAGAAATGTTTGGTTTTGTTTGGAAGAGTTTGTGGGAAAGGGGTTTATTGCCAGGTGATAAAAATTAATTCTGTTCCAAACTGATAAAACTCCTATGAAACAAGCCTGGGTGGTTGTGGAGCCCTTTCTGCCTGCCCAGGCCAACATAAGTCACTCCTGAGTGTATGTTGGGTGCTATAGAGGTCAGAGCTTCTCCAGAGGCACCCAAGCAGTAGTGACAAGACCCTTGCAGCCCTTTAGATACCTTTCCCTGTTCCTTGCAGATGGTCAGAGGAGCTCATTAATCAACTCTAAATAAACCTTCCTAAGCAGGCCCCAGGAAAATGACCTAAWGGTGAAGACAAGATGTGCCACAGCTCATGTTTTCCTGCCTGTCCTTCTCCCTGCCCAGAGCTGTGCCGGGGGATTGAGCACCGTGCTGACCATGAGCGAGCAGAGCCACGTCAACAGCCTGTTCCTCAACGAGGACGCAGCCAAGAGGCTGCACAGCGACAGCAGGGTGCAGAGGATCCGACAGGCTGTGCACAGGAGAGCAGCACGGGCCAAGAAGAGGATGCACAGCATCACTGCAGAGAGTGCCAAAAGCTTCTTCAGGAGAAATGCCTTCGTCCTCTTCACCATTGTTGCAGTACTCCTAGGTATGGAGCTGGGGGCAACACCAGGCACCATTTAYAAAYATGGGGAAATGTTTGCTTATTTTRCAAATATTTTATTTTATCATAATGATTTGATTGAGGAGKTGAAGCTGATGAGCTGACAGCTCTRAGTGTTGTCTACATCATGAGTTACTTTGTGCAGGAACAAGAGACCCTATAGAGAGTGCATTTGTGGGAGAGTGTCCTTGGTCATCCTTTCTGTGTGCAGTACAGAGACAGTCCATGACAGAAAGACTTTCATGGTCCAATTCAACCAATCCTTGTAAAAATCATCCAGATTTCTTCAAAGAAAGAAGAAAGAAGAAGTCATCTTGTGACTGCAGCTGTGGGCACAAGGGCTTTTCAGATTCATCCCAGATTCAGCTTTAGCCTGACAGGACCAGAACTGATGCAAATGGCTGTGATACCATGCACACCAAATCTTCTTAGCACATAGCAGGATGTCCCTTGCTTTTGATCCAGGCTGTGTCTCTAACTGGATGAACTCAGCTTTAAGAGCTGGGTGGACAAAGAATCTGAACTGTGCAGTCACACTTATTTTAGTCYGGGAGATCATATCTCTCATCACAGCATTTTTTGTTCATGATCTTGCTGGAAACAGACCCCAGAAGAGTAACAGGCAGGGGAACAAGGAGACCTGTGGTTTCGCACAAAGCTCCTGTGCACATAAATATGTCAGAGGGARAGAGAGCATACAGTAAAAACTGGATCACAGCCTTTTAGAAAGCGAGCATTTGTTCCTTTGGGGAGAGGAGGAGCTGAGAGTAGATGAGAAAGAGAAAAGCCACACTGTAGGACTGAGAGACAGACCACTGGATCACATTGTCCCACTTCCATTCTCATCCTTTGCTGATCCACAGGGATTATCCTGGCCTTCTCCCTCCGGCCCTACCAGCTGACCTATCGCCAAATCAAGTACTTCTCCTTCCCCGGCGAGCTGCTGATGCGGATGCTCCAGATGCTGGTTCTTCCTCTCATTGTCTCCAGCTTGATTACAGGTGAGAAGTGCTTTCTGCTACTTTCAGCCAAGACAGTGGTCAGCAAAGCTGTTGGATTAGCTTGGCTAGTAGTGACAAGCCTGAATCTACAGCCATAGTGAACACGATCCACCTTAAGACCCCTGTTGGCTCAGTAGTGAGGCAGAGAAGMAAAAGACCTTGTGCTTTCTCAGAAAAACTGGGGAGAACAAAATGTGGTGGTACCAATGCCCAGCACTTGAGCACTAACAGGGATTTAATCCTATACAACCTCAAATGTCTCCAAGTTTGCTGCCCAAGTCAACTTCAGGTTTCCTGCAGCCTAGAGAAGGTTAATTTGTGTCAGTCCAAAAGGGGTGATCACTGGCTGGAGAGCTTGTTTCACCCAGAATCCTCAAGGAARACATGACAGACAGCCAAGCTTTCAGAGAGCAGAAGGATCTGTTCCACCTCCTGAAACATCCCACCACTAGGGACTGAAAGGCCCAGTGTACTAGGAGGGCGTTATTTCCCTTCTGAGAGCTTTAAAAGAAAATTGCTACATTCCCAAATGCAGCCTATGATGTACCAGTGCTATACTTCTTCATGATCACAAGCCACATTCTTCCATATCAACATCACYCTGGAACTCCAAATTCTGTCCCTTATATGCTGTGCTTCCTAGAGACCCTAGYTCCCTGTCCAACTCATGCATGTGCCTTGCACCCTTTGCATCTTCCTCGGGCTTTCCCTTTCTCTCTAAGGTTTCCTCATCTTGTCTCTCTGTGTGACACCCCAGGAATGGCCTCACTGGATAGCAGAGTCTCAGGGAAGATGGGGATGCGGGCTATCATCTACTATATGGTGACCACAATCATAGCTGTCTTCATTGGCATCTTCATGGTGATCATCATACACCCAGGAAAAGGATCTAAGGACAAHCTTCACCGAGAAGGCAGAATTGAGCAGGTGCAGACCACAGATGCCTTCATGGACCTGGTGAGGTAGGTAAACAAGATTGTCTCATGCTGATGCTCTATCAGTGAGATYACATTTCTCCATGGAGGGTCCTTTCCAAGCATCACAGCTTAAGKGATACAGTCTTAGGGAAAGAGGTTCAGGCTGAGTCTTGGCAAACCTTCTGCTTCTAGCTTAGTCCAGCTAATTCGCTTTGCCATTCCGAGACTGAGTGCTTGGCCTGGAGTCCAATCCTTCTCCAGAGGTGTTAATGTAAGGGGGCAAGATGTGCTCAACAGAATAATAATGACTATCAGTGGCCACCTACCTTTMAGAAATTCACCCAGCAAAGGCTACTCCAAATATCCCTCTTCAAAGACCAAAAGAAATCAAGGAATTGGTTCCCAAGGCATTGCCTTTTCTTCCCTTGCTGTCACTTTACTCAATTGCAAAGCTGTACCAGCTCCAGTAGTACAAAGTCATGTTTTTGAGGTACAGGAAAACAGAGAGCTCAAATGACAACTGTAGAGGTGAGGCTGAGAGCAGTGTTTTAAACATTGCAATATGGTAYTGTTTCAGGGTTCACTTGGGTTTGATGATGGTTTTACAATGTTCCCATATCTCACAGCAGTATGTGCATCATCTCTTTCCACATAACTGAATACCTTCTGGAATCTGTAAACATGGAGTGGGAGTCTGACAAGATGCAAGAGGTGCTGAGTCCAGATCAGCATATTCCCTTCTTCTGTCAGTCAGACAGAAAGGGCTTGAGTGGCACTGTGAGAGTTGTGACCKCAGATACTGCTCCAGAAGTTGGCCAGGAAGCCCATGTTTTCCTTCGACTTCAACAGGACAATAACTCTTTCTTTGTTTTATCTACTGCAGGAATATGTTTCCACCCAACCTGGTAGAAGCCTGCTTCAAACAGGTATGAGATTTTTGTGCCCTGGGCTCTGGACTGTGGTCCTCCCTACTTCTCTGAGGGATGGAATAGCACTTTATTCCCCAGGTCTGACTGCTGCAGGAGGCACTGCAGGTGTTAGTCTGCATTATAGCATCCCCCATGCAAGCTTTTCAAACTGTCTGTAGGTGGGGGCTTCAACTTCCATCCCATCCCATCCCATCCCACAGAGGCAGGATTTGCATGATCTCAGCTAGCAGGCTTGGACTGTGATATGGAGCAAGAAACTGTCTTTTCTGCTGTGCTAGTGCCCTTAGAAGCAGCACAGAGGGTTATCAGGGAAGCAAGAATATCTCAGTCTTAGCATCCTAGATGCTCTAATGGTCTTTTTGACCTTCTGCTCTATGAACTTCCTGATGAAAGCACTACACTGGGGACCTTGAGAACAGGCAAAGCAAGTTTCCCATACAGGTCAGCAGCAACTTGCAGTACTGTCCTTACTTTGAGAAGGGATGTAAAAGCCTAGCATGTGTYTTGAGCATCTGAACTAGGGCTTTTGAGTGCATCTGATAATTTGTGTCTTTTCAGTACAAGACGCAGTACAGCACCAGGGTCTTCACCAGAACCATCCTCCACAGCAGCAATGTCACAGCGGGTGTGACAACCACTCAGATTCCCGTGCCTGAGAACTTCACCAGCATCATGGAAAACGTGACTCATGCCCTGGGAAGCATCTCCGAGGTGCTGACCTTTGAAGAAGTCATTCCCATCCCAGGCTCAGCCAATGGGGTGAACGCGCTGGGGCTGGTAGTGTTCTCCATGTGCTTCGGTTTGATGATCGGCAGCATGAAGCAGAGGGGACGGGCCCTGCGGGAGTTCTTTAACTGCCTCAACGAAGCCATCATGAGGCTGGTGGCCATTATCATCTGGTGAGGAGCACGGCCGGTTGGAGCAGGAGGTCTGCAGGTGCAGTTTCCATTGACATGATGAGAAGTGGGGTAGCTTTAAGGATTTCATGCACAAGCACAGGAAAAGCAGATGGGCACAGCTCTACTTTGGCTCCATCAAGCTGGAGGGAAAAGTCTGGATGGGATATTTGTTCACATTTCATTTCCTGTTCTTTTTGTTTTTAACMTTAGAAATATCAGGTACACCTGGACTTGCTTTTCTTGAGGCTTCTGRAAACATCCTTGGAAGACCAGACTGGAGTGGAAGATCTCTTAGCCTTGCCAACAGGAGTAGGGTGTGAGCTTTCCTTGCAGCTGTGTTCCAGGAGTCTGACTTAGCTATGAATCACAGTAACTCATTGCCTCTTTCCTGTTTTCAGGGTTGCAGCGATGCAAGAGCTCTGAGAGCTGAGCTGGGTTGAGAGATCAGTTCAAAGTTACTGCCTTTCAGTTTGAGGTCTCCCAAATCCTAACTCTTCTGGAGCTCAGCTGCTCATTGCTTTCTGTGTAAGGCTGCCTCTGTCCAGATAAGGCGTTGCTGAGACAAGCCTATGCTCGAAGGCAGCATTTTACAAAATCTTGTGATTTTAAGGTTTTTACCCAGTTTAGGCTCAAAGGTATTGCAAAAGAGGACAGATGCAGGTCTGGCAGAACACACACAAATACCTGACAGGGAAGGAATCTGTCAGTCTGACACCCTCTCCCACTTTAGATCGCTCCAGCTTCCTTTTCTTTGGTCTTATAAGTCACAGAATTGTATCTCAGAGCAAAATTCTGAGCACAGCAGGACATGCCTTACAGAAAAAGGCACCAAGGAGAAGAATATTCCTGAGCTCCTAGCAGATGYTGGGAGTCCCCACCCCTACCTGGGATCTTTTGCTCCATGTCTGAACCAAAGCTTGGGGCTTTACTTTCCTAACAAGAGGTAAGACTTGCCTGAGGGCACAAAGGGAGAGCATGGGCACAGTGGTGCAAGTAGAGCTGCACACTGCTCCAGAGACCCTTGACACCCCTGCTTTGACTCCCCTTACCTGAAGGAAGGCAGGCTATTCAAATACAGAACATTGGTTACATTTGGGACACTGACTGCACATGCCTTTCTGTAGCCACAGTCCACAGACCATCTCCAGGAGCTTGTTTGTCCTGGGGACATCTGGTCACTGGCTGCAGTCAAGGATGTCTTCTAATAGGACAGTCAGAGGAAATGAAATATTCATTAAATCCTTTCCTGAAACTTTTCCAAACCTCCCAGGCTAAGCTGGAGTTTGGCATGTGGACCTCTGAGCCTTGTGCATGTGTTGCATGTGAGCTCTTGAGCTGCAGAGGCCCAGCCCTGAGAAGTGTGGCCATGGAGCTGGAATTTCCTTTGGTCCAGTTATTATATTGGTGCTTATGATTCTCTCCATATCTGCCTTATGTCTTCCTTTCTGTGGAGCCTCACTGCTGCTTGTCAGATGCATTGTTATGGAGGTGGCGGGGAAAGGACACAAGGAATGGAAAAGATAGCAGGGTACTTCAAAATGGAGCTTTATATGAGCCATGGCTGCWTTTACAGACATTGATGTGCCCAGTCCTTGTTACACCAGGTCTGGAATCCCTAGATGTTCCTATTCCCTAAATGTGATCATCAGAAATCAGCAAAGTGGATATCCCAGGCCTATAGGACACTCTTGCTTTTACTCCCTGATTCCCTGTTTCTGCTGCACTTTCCTATGCCTCTCAATAAAATACACGCTCAGCCCAAGCTCTGTTAAGAAAGGAAGGGACTCTGAAGGCTTCTATATGTAACCTTCCTAATCAATTCTACAAGGACTGTTGTAGAAACATGTAGGAAACMCAAAAGGAGGAGGAAACCACCAGTGCCCAAGCTGTGTGCACAGCAGAGTGCTGGGGTCCCCAGGTGTGCASCAAGAGCTTGGTTTTTGCCCATGGGATGAACAAATCCCAGCTCTCTCCAAATTTCTAGAAAAGAAACCAGCAGTATTATCCAGTTATTGGGCTCAGTGAGCACTTGTGGTATGCTGAGTTATTGGGGTTTTATCCAGACAGCATGTGTTAAAGCTGATGTGAACTTGTGGGAGCCAGGACTAACCTTTGGCCTTGTGTTTCTGTCACAGGTATGCTCCAGTTGGGATCATGTTTTTAATTGCGGGCAAAATCCTGGAGATGGATGACCTGGCAGTGATGGGAGGCCAGCTGGGAATGTACACGCTCACTGTCATCGTGGGACTCCTCATCCACGCCCTTTGCATCCTGCCCCTGCTCTATTTCATCGTCACTCACAGGAACCCCTGGCTCTTCATTGCAGGGCTCCTGCAGGCTCTGATCACAGCCCTGGGCACCTCCTCCAGGTACCACGGTGTACAGTGGGGCTGGGGCTGATGTAGATGATGCTSTATCTCAGGACTCCTTTGCTCTAGTGCAGCACTGTGCTCTCACCATTTCTAGCACTAGTGGCTTTCTGCAGAGGACAAAGTCTCAAATGAGTCTTTTCCAGACTCATTTGAGAGTGGAAAGGCTCCCATTCCCCTGCTCAGGAGGTTTTGTCACACAACCTGCTCTGAATGGCCCATATTTCTCCTGACCAAACACAAGGGTGACTTTGCTTGCCACTGAAATGCTGAGCTCAGGACAAATATAAAATCCTGCTGAATCACAGCATTATTCTACATGCACATACCTCTCACACACAAGTTCTTGCATAATGTCATGGGTTTAAAACCTGATTTTTTTTTTGATTTCCCGGCCAATGCACCAAAAATGTTGTGGTTTAGACTGTGCTGAAAGCCAAAAGCACTGCACCCACGACGTTCTCTCCCCTCTCCCCACCGAAGAGGAAGAAGGGAGAACAAAAGCCCAATTAACACGAAAATTTATGGCTTTCAGATAACATAACGTAATTGTGAGAAAGATACGGATGTGCTCCAGAAAATGGTCAGAGCAGTCTCGACTAATGTATAGTTACAGAAGGGTTGTTTAACTTTCCTCTAACATAAGCAGATGATAGGAATACAATRCTCAGCTAACCTAGGACACATACATTTTCACAACTCTCTCTCTCAGGCACACAGGCTGTTTGCAGCTGTCACTAAACTTCCCAGAGGCCTGGGAATATCAACATCAGTATGTTCAATGACTCACACTGCTATGTCACACAACCAAAGCAAGGGATGGTAGGTTACTGTTGTTTCACTGAGTGCTATGTTTCTTGTTATATTCATTTTCTGGCAAACACATGGCAGGCTCTTCCACATAGCTTCTCAATCAAAATACAGCATTTTTCCTGCTCGTGTTCTCTTTCAGAAACAGTTCTTTGCTTTCTCTGCAAGATATATTCTGAAACATGGGTAATTGTATTATGGACTGGGAAGGGTGAGAAAAGGCTCAAGTGCTTTTAATAGCAGAAAAAGGAGTTTTGGTCTTGAGGCTCTGTCCTATATACCCCAAATCCTCCTTTTTTTGGTGCTAGACCAGCATCATCAGCCTCAGGGTTATACAGCCAACCCCCTGAGGAAATCCATGTCTGAATATGCAGCTCCCACGTGCATCMTGTCTGAGGAAGCCTTGCTTAGACTGTTCTTTCTCCTAGCATCTTCTGGCCTCTGGCTCACATGGCAGGGTGAAAAAGCAAATGGGTAAGGTCACAAACCAGGCAAAGGCTTAGTACTTCTTCCAAAGTCAGCATGCACACAATTCATGTGGTTTTGTAAATTCCTTTCAGCTCAGCAACACTGCCCATAACCTTCAGGTGCCTGGAAGAAAAYAATGGTGTGGACAGGCGTATCACGAGGTTTGTGCTGCCTGTGGGAGCCACAATCAACATGGATGGCACTGCTCTGTATGAGGCCCTTGCAGCCATCTTCATTGCACAAGTCAACAACTACGAACTTGACTTTGGGCAAATCATCACAATAAGGTGACTTTTGAAAGAATTTTGGGCTTATAGAATGGGTTTCACTTTTGCTGACTTATCTGAGATGTGATCAGGTTCCTCTTTTGCTCAGAAGATGCAGTAAGAAAAAAAATATGGGAAAGAAGGGTTGTACTGCAGCTCCAGGTGTCAAAGCACATATGATTGGGACATCATGTCTTYGAGGCTCCACTTGAGCTCCTCTTGCATGTCCAGGTCTTAGGAAAAGCTGTGTATGCAGTCTGTTATGAGAGGGGGCCGCCTGGCATTATGATGATGTGTCACCATCCTTCTCGGTGACCAGGGCAGAAAGGCTGCCAAGATGATGATGATGAATTTGAGCTACTTCCTGACATTCCTGCAAATGCGACCACCTCTTTTCTTCCCTTGGCTGATAGCTCTGCATTCCTGTTCCCTGCAGCATCACTGCCACGGCAGCCAGCATTGGAGCTGCAGGCATTCCCCAGGCAGGACTGGTGACSATGGTGATAGTGCTGACATCAGTGGGGCTCCCTACTGAGGACATCACACTCATCATCGCTGTCGACTGGTTTCTGTAAGTTCCCTGCTGCTCTGCAGGCATGCACTGCTGTGCACTCCTGACAGTGCTCACAGACCTCGTCTGTACTCTCAGTGTCTCTGCTAAAAGCAGGCTCAGTAACCTGTACTGTTAAGCTTAAAATACAATCTGTATCCATGAGAGCTTTGCACAGCAGCCCTCTCTGCCCATGCTGGAGTCTCCACCATGTGCTTCAGTGACCCAAGGCATCAGGGGTCACTCACTGATCAGCCTGGTGGCCAAACAGAATGTCGTCCATTTAGTATATCTTTAAATGCATCTAGAAATTATCTGCAGAGTCATAGGGAAAGGTTGTGCCAATAATAAGCAAATACACACTACAGAATGATAGTTCTGGGTTAGCTAACACTGCAAGAGGGATGAAACTGGGCTGTACAAAGCTGGAGAGTATTTAGATGGGTGCAGCTAGCCAGCCACACTGCTACATTTCAGCTTTCTTTCCCTTTTAAATAAAATCACTTGGGAAGAGTGATTTTACAGGAGTGGTCTTAGGAATCAGAATGAAGAATGTGCATTTGTACACAGTCCCACCTCTCTGTCTTCTCAAACACCACATATGGATAAACTGTCAGTGTTTCCTCTGTTCTTCTGTATCTTATATTGTTGGTTTGTAGCCAAAGCAGCCAAAGTCTTCTCCCAGCCATGGCTGACCAGGTGGAAACAGTTTTGCCCAACACCTCCACTTCCCCTGGAACTGTGGATTGTGCATAAGAACAGACTTGGCTGGGAGGAACCCTACTTGTGCTTACTCAGAGTAGATTATTTCTATAGGTGCCACTGAAGGATCTGAAGGGTTGCTGGACTGGTGACAGCTTCAGCAGCTCTGACATAGTGTAGTTGTGGAGAATATCACATTGCCTGGGGTCTTTTAGATGTGCTTTTTGCACAAGGAATCTGGTGTCTCATTTTAGTGCATGCTGTCTATGCTGAGGAAATCTGAGTCCACAGCAGCACTGTCACAGGTTTGCACCAGAATTTCAGCACTTTTGTAAAACAAAACACAACTTAAGTGAATCAGATGTGGTGAGACCATTTGAGTCTGCAGCAAGCCTTTGAAAGGACAGTGTCCATGTAGAAACTGAGCAGCCTTCCTCTTGATTTGTGTCAAGTCCAAAACTTATTAGTAAGAAATTTGGGATGCAATAAAACAGGAATGAATGTGAAGCTTGAGCTCAAGGGTATCAATTAAGGAAGGCTCTTTGGGAGCAATTCTCCTGTCAGTGTTGAAATATCCATTATTAGAGTGACTYAGAAAGTAGAAAAAGTTTCACTGAAGAAGTTTGTTGAAATAATCTTCATCCCCTAAACTGTCACTATCAAACTGTATTTTGTTTTTCTCTCTGATTTYTCAGGGACCGCCTTAGAACAACTACCAATGTGCTGGGGGATTCTCTGGGGGCTGGCATTGTGGAGCACCTCTCCCGGCATGAGCTGGATGCGCAAGACTGCGAACTTGGTAATTCTGGGATAGAGGAGAAACAACAGCTCTCCCACCTGGTTTGCCCACACAACGAYACCCACAGGCACTCCAGGAGTGAGACAGCACTGTGAAATCGGGCAGCCGAGTACAAATTAATGCTGTAAAAAGCCAAAACTTGAAACAGAAGTCCAAAGTGGAGGACAGAGAAAGACACTATGCAAGACACTCAATTTTCTACTGCCTCTGCAACATGCAGTCTTCCCTAAACCCGCTCCTCCCCCATTTCCCTCYGACTGACATTAAAGAGGAGAAAATTAAACTGGTAAAAAAGCCTGATTCAGTCATTCTTAYGAGGCCCAATAGTTAGACCTGAATAAAGAAGTCTCAGTGAAGGAGCTGGTCTAGCAGCTCCTTTATTTCTGAACTAAGTAGCCCGGTGAGTGGGGAACACCACCCCCTGTGACTGGCACCAAAATGTTGCCCTGCAAGATACAGCTACAAAGTCTTCACTTGGTTAGCACCTTTGCCCAAACAAGCTTTTAGCACTGACCTCCTAGCTCACAGTCCTGGTGTTTGCACAGATAATGCACTTGATGCTTTCTGAGAGCTGCTCTGGCACCCTGTCTGGCTGCAGATAGTAGAGTCACCCACCTTCTGAAGGAGTGTGGGATCATACAGCCAGGACAGGGCTGGCTGGCAGCACCAGTAGGGGTCAATAGGCTTTTCATTAGTAGAAGATCCTAAAGGATTGTGAAAGAAGCAGTTAACAAATGTATTATATCCATTATTCAGTCTTGAAACAGCTSTCCCCCCTATCAAGCTCTGCCAAAACCAAGTTAACTTCATTACTTTCTAGAGAGTTCTTCTTCTCCTGCTGAAACCAGGAGGGGTAATGCAAAGTTTAAGAACAACTAGCCCATCTGAGCAGATGAGTGGTACATCCATGCCAGGAATGACTCCCTGCCATGCCAGATTTGCTCAGAAAACAGTTCCACTCTTCATCACTAGATTCCTAAKSAAATGGTTCCTGTGCTCATCTTTGCCCATTTTCAGAAGTGACTTCCCCTCAGTCACATTGCTCTAGAATTCACTTTCAATACCTCTGTCTTTCTACAGCTCCTTCTCTTTCATAGGCACAGCCAAATAACATGGTACTTGCACAAGTTGGCCAGACCCCAGACTCAAAAAGGGTCAGGATATATTTTTCAGTTCCTACCAAATGGAGTTCAGCTTTTGTTTAACACACTTGGACATAAGCCCAAATTACATCCATAACACCTCAGAGGCTAAAGGTAGAAGTAGGGACCTGYTTCATCCATGCTCTCTCCCCCTTCCATGACATGGCCAGGAATACAGCTGGTATCTCTCACACCATGAACAGGACCACTGGGACTTGCTCCATAACATTCAGGTCCATGAACAACCAGAAAATGAATGTCTATACTCAACCAGGAAGATGTTAAGGATCAACAGTGCTGAGGCTGTTGCACTGTAGTTGTCCTGCTTTCAACAACAGCAAAGAGCAGGAACAGCAGTGAGCAGCCTCCTGAGCCACCAAGGGACTATCTAAACCAGGCAGCACTCACTTGAGCTCTTCTCATTGTTCACAACCCACTGTGTGACTTACACCCCTCTACCCTGTCTTTCCACATTGATGTTTTCCATCCCTAGCCATGGCCATACACTCAGGGGTGCACATTGTGGAGAGAAGACCTCAGAGGCATTGATGGAGTCAACTTTGCCAGCCACAATTGCATACCTGCCCATACTGCCCTCCCCAGCACCACCAAAGCTTCCTCAAACTTATTTCTTCAGATGTTCAAAGCCACATCCTGAGACTCTTTTTAGTTGTTCAGACACTGCAGGGTTATRTATTGGTGCTGCTGCATTCTGCATCCTGTAGGCAGAGTATTYTATTTTTATGGCTGGACAATTATTGGGAACCTGAGATAAATGCACAAGCCCACCTCTTTCATGTAAGAACAGGGTAACTGGAAGTGTGTGATAGTTCTGTTTAGCAGTGGCTGGCTCCAGAATGTAAGGTAGCAAGTTGTTTGCTGACTGTGGAAGGCAGGTTGCTTATTTTGACAGGACATCTACTCTAGCAGGAGGCAAGTGAGAGGGATAACAAATTCTCCTCCTCTTTGTAACACTTTTAAAATCTTGTTTGAATACTTTTATAATGTCTGCTCTTCTCCTTTCTAGACTAAACAGATCCTGTATATACCCTCACAGGTAATAATCATTGTTTTCCTTGCTGTTCCACATCTTTCTTGAAGTGGAATGACTAAAATTTGATGCAACAATCCAACTAAAGATTTRTGATTACTGAGCACTGAGGAAAGAATATTTCCTGCACATTAAGATTTAGATATTGGACTCCCATTACCATGGTTGTTAGCATGCTATGCATSGGCTGATCAGGATAACTGTCCCTGATGCATACATACAGCAAACTCMAGTCTGTTCATCTTATCCTAACTTTTAGTGAGGTTAGACTCTTACTTTGATGAGATGGCTCTATCTAAGGACTAGATCTTAATCAAAGAGTTTTAAGATACACTGCATTAGCTTGTATCTATCGTGAGCTAAGACAGCACCAGCTTATCATTAACACCACTCAGCTGACATGAGTCTAAACCTTCATAAAGAACAGACCTGCCTATAAAACACAATGAATTGCTTTATTTTTTAACAACAGCATGAGAGCACTGACCCTACTCCAGTGGTAATACATGATAATTCCTACATCATTTTAAGAAGAAYTGCTGCCTATCAAGCAATTTCCCAGCCTGTGTTTATGCAGTTTGTTATTATCACTGAAGTTTAGTAATTTCAGTTTGTCCATATTGAACTGCTTCTTTCTGTTTATCTTATATTTGGTCTTCTTATTTTTTTTCCAGACTGTTTGTCCAACTTTTCAAGAAAACATTGAATTCTAATCCTGAAGAGACTTCCTGACCAGGGCAAATGGAAGGATGAATCAGAAGATGGTTGGATTGGATTCTAGCTCAAATGGGAATTAATTCTGGGAAGTCCTATGGCTCTGGTTMCACAGACAGTCACACTAGATGGTCATAAGGGTCCCTTCTGGCTTTCTAATATATGCACGTGCTTTCTGCCTTAGAGATATTGCAAAGGTTCTTTCCAACCCAATCATTTCTAGGAAGGATCCTAATGATACATTAATAAAACTCAGCAGGAGTCTCACCTGTTTTCAGTTGCTGTTAGCAGACATGTACACACACCACAAAAGGGACTCTCCAYACCACACTGCATCCACATATTTGCAGATGTTCCCACAAAGCAGTRCACACCAAGCCTTGCCATTTGTGTTTCCCTGCTTCCAACACAAGATTAACAGAGCACARACAAGTAGAGGCCTCATTTTCAAACAGTGCAAACCAGTCTTCCTTTGGGAATTTCAGAATTCAGTTGATAGCTTTTAGCTCTGGTGTTTACCCATGTTGTTAACCAGATTGTGATTGGAATGATCTGTTTACAGTACTTGAACATCAAAGTATTGTCAGAAATTTCCAYATACTTACATATATATATGCACATATATATGAAAGGGGTGCATGTTGCAAGCATACATATACACAGAGCTAAWTTTTTTGTTACTAATCCAAGAAGGAAAGTCAATATTACAGTCTCACTGTGTGTAAAGCTGCATATTTCATTTTGGTGCCCACCTTGATTTACTCATTTAATCCTATCCTTAAAACAAAAAGTTGAGGCTGTTCTACTTCATTCCAGAAATGAGTCTTCCAAAGCCAGATTTCCCAGAAAGGAGCTCAATGCATGCCAATTTTGACTTGTACCTGCTGGTGATGAAATGAGAACTTCTCAATGTGTAGAGAAAATTCTCCGCTGTGTCCTTGACTTGTCTGCACACATCCCAAAGACCCCCATCCCCACTGCATCTGTCTTGGCAAGGGGCAAGCTTTCAGAGCTCAGTCAGGAATACAAAAGTGTTTGTACTCCTTCCAAATTCAGTGCTGACCTTGTACGAACTCAGCCTTCAAAACYGGATAATTTTTGAACTGTATTTTATAATTTTATCCACTGTCTTTTTAAATTACCATATACTTGAGAGCTTATGCAGTTTTTACTGCAGTCCTGCTGCTTCTACTTGCAGAAACTTTCTAAGTTTCTCCTATTTGCAARCAGATCTCTCCCTAATGATTACAGATGGGATGAAACAGAAAGCTATCTCAATGYATAAATACACAAGCAGCTCTTGGGTTAGGACACATCTCTTCATTACTAATTTGAAGAGAGAAAATCTGGGAATATGGATTTTCAGTTAGGCCATGTGTCACTTTATGCATCTAATACATGCACATTGTTCCAGGAGTTGAACTGCCCATGAAAACTGACCTGAAATTGTATGTTCTTCTGCTGTGCCCAAAGAAGAGCTGGAAATCAGTACTGTACAGTGTGTCCAYGGCATTTGGGCAATTCGACTCTGTTAATTCCTGAGGGCTTTTTCTTCATGCTGTGATTTTCAGTGTTAATACAGATAGTTTCCATATTTGAAAAATAAAGGGAATTTTTTCCACAATACTTTTCCATGCTGGTTTTTCTCTAATATTTTTCCTCGGGACTGTGACCTTCCAAAGTCAGAGACATTACTTTAGCATGATGTATTATATATTTTCTTATCTCCATGTGCCCATGTAATGGGTCAAGTACTAATCTCCGATTTTGACAAGGCCTTTCCCTAAAGCTTCTTCTTTGATGTCATCTTTGGCACATGTCCATACACTGACGAAACTGGATGAAGTTTGCTTCATCTGAGCAGACAGCACATAAGCACATATTTCCATCTGTTAAGTCCACCCCCAAAAAAGGTTAAGGTGTCTCAGAGGCTTAAACAATAATGGGTTTACATTATTTATAAAAGGTTGCATTAATGGCATGGCATCTGCACAAAGTGGAAACTGTTTGTTCTCCCCTTGATATGTCTTTTTCTTGTTTTCTGTTTGCTAAGAGACAGGAATTGAGCTGAGTAACAGGGTTGCTGGGGAAAGGGCATCCCCAGTGCCACAGCAGCCAAGAAAGGCAACAGCACAGAGTTCAGACCATAAGACAGCAGCAGGTGATGAGCAGGTCTGAGCTGTGGGTCCCAAGGGAGGCTGCCCAGAGCTATTTAGGTCTGATGGTCCACTTGGGCTCCATCTGCAATCCAGCCCACGCCTCCTGCCCTCCCAGCCATGCAAACTTCTGCCTGGTACCACCAGCTTGGCTGAGAGGTCTCTGGAGGTCCTCAGTCAAACTCCCTGCTCAGAGCAGAGCAAGCAGCACAGGCTGCTCAGGACTTTGTGTGATTGGATTTTGAACCTCTCCAAGGATGCAGGTTCCACACACTCTGTTCCAGCACTCGATCACCCCCACAAAAAGAAGCTTTATTTAAATAAAATTTCTTGGCTTTCAACTTGCGCCCACTGCCTATTGTCCTTCCACCAAACACCACAGAGACAAGCCTCAAGGTTCCCTTGAATCTTTAACTTTAATTTAATCTTTCAAAAAGATGCAAAGATGGACTGACAGGAACATCATGAAATTCAACAAAAAGAAATGCAGTGTGCTACACCTGGGGAGGAGTAACCTTATGCACCAGAACACACTGGGGGCCAAGCTGGTGGAAAGCAGCTCTGTGGAGAAAAACCTAAGGGCTCTGCTGGACTGTGAGTTGAACCTGAGCCATTGCTGTGCCCTGCCTGTCCTGGCCTGGTGAGTTCAGGGACAGGATTCTCTTCTCAGTGCTGGTGTACTGTGTCCAGCTCGGGCTCCCCACTGCCAGAGCCATGGRCACACCATGGAGAGTGCAGCCTGAAAGGATGGGCTTTAAATAAAACCTCATAGACTGGGGTTTATACAGCAGGTGTTTGTTTATGGCTGTGCTGGAGGTGAGGGGGATTTCTCCATTCAACACACGCACCTTTGTCAAGTGTCATGTTTTATTTGTACAATAAACATGGTTGAGTATTGCTACATCAGCATAACATCATCATATTCATGTYTGGAACTAATTTACATATGATTACCACATGATTATAAATAATTTTTCTGCACTGTGCTTGCGCTTGCCCAATTTAGGTGGTCTTGGGCTTTCTGGATATAACCAGTCTAAATCCTTCAGCTCGTTGCTAATTGGCTTTACATTTGCCAATTTCTCATTAGTTCACCTTGCTCTTTCCCAGTTAGCTATATTTATGTATTTTCGAGATTATCCACCTGGTGAGTTTTTGCTTACTTAAGCATTCAGCAACTAGTTAACTACATTTGGTTATAACATTGTATAAAAAGTTATTATTCGAGTTATATAAGTATTAAAAGCTATAATTCAAGTTATATAAGTTTTAAAATGTCATAGTTCAGGTTACATAGGTGTCCTAGGTTAGCTGAGTATGGTATTCCTATCATCTGCTTATGTTAGAGGAAAGTTAAACAACCCTTCTGTAACTATACATTAGTCGAGACTGCTCTGGTTTGTTTGGTGATGTTCCTCCCTTCAAGGACAATGGGAGGGAAAGGGACAAGACACACACGGTTTCTTTTCCTTCCGGGGAGGCTCAGGATCAGCGGTGGAAAAGAAGCTGCCTGCTCTCTGGGACGGCGGTTTTTTTCCTTCCTTTCTTTGGACTTGTTTTTCCTTGAATTTTTTTTTTCGTCATCTCAGAATTGGAGGATTTTTCCCGTGGCACGACAGGCGAGAAAGATCCTTCAGTGAACCACCGGAGAGACTCTGAACACCCCTCTGGGGGCCCCGGAGGGGAAGCTACTCCCAGGAGGGAAGAGAAAGGCTTTGGGATCAACAGCTGATTCCACAGTTTTTTTTTTTGTTTGTTTTGTTTGTTTTTATAATTTTAAATAAATAGGTTTTTTTCCCTTTTCTTTTCACTTTCCTCTCTGTGGAAAAGTTTGTCTCTGGGACCCGGGTGGGGAAAAGAGAGCGGGGGGAGGTTTGCTGGAACTTGGGAGTGTTTTGCTCCCATTTGAGTTCGTTCAAACCAGAACAATAGGTATTTTATAAATCAAGCTATAGAAGCATCTTCTAACATTGACCCAAGTTACATCAAGAGTCTGGAGGAGAACTGCAGGGACTGCAGCTGCGGGAAGGACTGGGCATGTCCCCTGTGGCACGGCAGGGGGCGCTGGCACTGCCATCTCCTGTGTGACCGGCAGGGGGCGCTG